ATACTAATAAAATACTGGAAAATCGAATCCAACAGCACATCAGAGGAATCATCTACCATGACCAAGTAGGCTTCATTCCAGGGATGATTTAATATACAACAGTCTATCAATGTGTTCCACCATATAAACGAACTAAAAAAGTAAAACCACATGATCATCTCATTTCACGATAAAGGTCTTGGAGAGATCAGGAACATACCTAAGCATAATAAAAGCAATATTCAGTAAACCAACAGGCAACATCAAACTAAATGGAGAGAAACTTAAGGAAATTCCTCTAAAATCAGGGACAAGACAAGGCTGCCCACTCTCCCCATATCTCTTCAATATTGTACTTGAGTTCTAGTTAAAGCAATAAGACAATAAAAGATCAAGTGGATACAAATTGGAAAGGAAGAAATCAAACTGTCACTATTTGCAGATGATATGATAATTTACATAAGTGACCCAAAAAAACTCTACCAGGGAATTCCTACAGCTTATAAACACCTTCAGCAAATTAGCAGAATACAAGATTAACTAAAAAACAAAACAAAACAAAACAAACAAACAAACAAAAAAACTCAGTAGCCCTACTACATACAGATGATAAATGGGCTGAGAAAGAAATCAGAAAAACAAAGTATTTGGGGTAATGCTTACCAAACAAATGAAAGACATATATAACAAGAACTTTGTGTCTTTCAAGAAAGAAATTAAAGAAGATATCAGAAAATGGAAAGATTTGTTCTTCATGTCCTACTTTGTCTACAGATTCCTTTCCTGTTCTTTCAAATCTTTAATTATCTTCATCATTTTATTCAGGTACGAGTGCAAATTTATATTATCTTGAACATCACTCAGGTGTTTATTATTATCTTCTTGGAGTTCAGTAAGGCATTTGTTAATGTATCCTCTAATTCTTTTAATTCTTTGATGATTTTATGATTTTATAAAATATTTTGCCCTGGTCTCTGTCTAGGTAGTTCTCATTAGAGAATACTTCTATGCGTCTATGTGTTTTGATGAGGGGAATACTGTCTTGGACATTGATACTATTTTTGTTTTGTTTTTTATTTTTTGAGATTCGACTTAGTGTGTGAACTTCTTTCTTTGCTTGTTTATCTAGCCTGCCTTAGATGAGTGCAGAAGCTAGTAATTGTAGCTGAACCAGGTCAAGGTGGTAGATGAGCTGTTTAATTGGACCAGACAAAAATGGTTCTTAAAACACAGGACTAGAGTTTGGTCTATGTCTGTAGAGATGGCTTCAGGCAGAGGGAAAGATTAGAGAGGAAAGGAGTGTCTCAACAGTCAAATGTGGTTTGCAAACAAGGCAGGTTGGAAGGACTTGGATCTAGAGCTAGACCTGTTGATGTGGAAATGGCAACAAGTGGACTGAAGGATGGCTAATGCAAGAAGCAACTTACCAGGCAAAGTTGGCTGGTGAACAAAGATGGTTCCTAAGCTGTGGATTTAGATCTGAGCTTCTGAGTCTGTAAATGCCAGTAGACAGCAGTGGGAAGATAAAATTTTGATGGAAAAAGGTGATTTTTCTTTTAAAAAAAATTAATATTGGTGTCCAGAAAATGTAAAAATAAAACAGTAATAAAAATTACATATTTATTCCTTGATTAGAAAGAAATACATTTTGTCAGGTTCTGTGTAAATAATTAGAGAAACAAAAACAGCAGCGCATCTTCACAGAGACACTCTACTGATTTGATTAAATCCTTTAAAACAACAGCTTCTTTTGAAATCAATACTGATCCACGGCTGTCTATACTTTTAATGCCACATCATGACTAGATACCCATATTCTCAAGACCTGCATCAAATGTGCAAGCCTGGTATTTACCTTAGAGCTCTCGCAGGAAGGAATTTCTGATTTCCCAGTGAGGACATGTGAGTTTCTAAGCAGCAGATCACTACAATACATGTTATTTTTATTCGGTACTTTGGAACCATTGAGAAAGCATCAGATCCTTTTTCCTCTATCCATGCTGAAGCATCCTGAAGTAGTAAATCTGAGGAAAACATGGAGAACTGTCAGGCGGCTTCAGGTCAGGAGTCTGTGCCTCCCAGGCTGGTTTAGAAGGACTTCCTTAGTCTTCATGGTTCTAGATCTTTCTTGGCTTCCAAAGACAGAACAAGTTGTCTTGTGCAGAGATTGTATCTTACACACTAGTGTGGATGCAGGCCACTGCAAGACTACTGGCCTAGTAGGGGTGCCTGGGGCCTTGGTGGCTGGAAAGGTGTCACTTAAAACAGAGAGTGAAAACAGAAAGACACACTAAATCCTACAAGGAAAAAACACACAAAGAAGGTTTGAACACAGCAAAGGGAGAGGAAAGCTTAACACCATCATTATTTACAGTGGTATGACTTGGATTAAAAAGAAAGACAAAGTGAAGGCAATCATGAGACCCAAGAACCTATCTTGAGTACAAACTACAGCATCTTATTGTATCTGGGGTCAGATGGGGGCACCCCAGAGGACAATGGTATAGGACAGCCTTTTAGGAGTTATAGTCCCACCGTCATCTATCATCTACCCATCTGTATCTTTTTCTATCATCTACTGATCCATCCATCCATTCGTCTGACTAGCTCTGGTAGGATATATGATAAGAGAATTTTGTTTGGAGACACCAAGAGTGTGTGCAATTGAAATAGCTTAGAATAATTCTTCTAAGATCTTAGCTTCTATTGGGGTTGTAAAAGAAAATGTATACATTCAAAATAACCCTTTAAAACAGCTGCCACAGTCTGAGACTAGAACAGTGAAATCTATGCCTTGATAGAGACTAATTAAGTATCTCCAAAATTATAATTTTCTTATTGTTGAATCAGGCCATTAAAAAAATCCAAATCTAAGAAAAATAAACAAGAAATATGTTTGCAGTGAGTTCTGTTTAAAGTGTTTTGTTCAAGGCCAGGGCCAGATTCTTATGCTATCTGCCTGCTTGTTACTCTCCAAGAACGTGAATGCTATGAATTGTAAACACATTTTAAAAGCTATACCACACTCACTTGAGCTTCTCCCATTTCTTAAAAGCATGGCCTTTAACCTGGATGGTTATGAGCCACACTGAGTACCTCTTCCCTGCACGACAGTATAGGAAAGACAGAATAAGCAAGGATGCTCTGTTGTAAATCCATCTCCAGCTTCTGTAAGTGAAGTTGCTGAGATACCATATCTACTAGCACGAAGCAAATGTACGTATGTGGTTTCTTGCGCTGCATGATTTTGCTTCGGGGTTGGAAGCTAACCAAGCTCCCCAGTGTCGGATGGAAGAAGATTTAGAACAGGGAACAGGCAGGGGACACTTGCCTATATATTTTCTCTAATAGTCCCAACATGGGCCTCATTTCCATCTCAATTCATGAGTTAGTCCTTTTAAAGCAAGTAAATTTAACATTTTTGTGGCCTTTGGAGTCGACCATGGGTTTAGAACTGATGAAATTTAAAGCAATCATGGTGAATATGATGCAGTACCACAGCCTCTCTTATACTTTGCCCTCAGGATCTTCATCTTCACACACTCTATGGTCTTCTGATGTTTGCTCAATTTCAGTTTAACCTGAAAATAAATAAAAAAAAAATCTGAAATGCATAATCACACACAGGAATTAGAGTGAGAAGAGGCTCAGTGTGATTGACAAATCAGGACAAGGATGCCTGCGGCAGCTGTCCCTCCTCCCGAGATCAGTTGCACAGACAATCATCCATATGAGTCTCCTATATTGGGAATATAAAATTTTGGCATATCACATTATGTGTTGTATAGGGCCAAAAAGGACAAACGGATGTTTAGAAATAGTTTTTACTCATTCCACCTTTTCCATAGAATCTACCTTACTGAATTCACTTCCTTTCAACTAAGAAGTTACTTAACCGAGTATGCGCTATATGCTGAGTATTGCTCCACACTCAAGAAATGTTGAAAATATAGACACTTTTCTTCCTCTCAAAGAGTCAAGTTTATCAGAGAATACTATCCTTTCTGAGTAGCTATAGGCTTTCTTTCTTCTATTATTTTTCCAAAATGGGTGCAGTTGCTAATGGAGGGTAAATATAGCTAGCATCCAGCCCCAAATAGAGAGGAGCCACAGGAGGTCTTGATCAATGGACCCTGGAGAACTGAGAATTGGCTGTAATTACAATAGACCAGAGGGGGCTCTCCTAGCTCCTAACTCCTTTTCTGCCTAATTTCAGCTCAGTCTTATTTAGGAGAGGATCTTTAAATTTGAAGGGGAAGCTTTCCTTGTCCTCAGCTGCCTCTGAAGCCTTCTGTACTTGAGGCTGTTACGCTTCCTGAAGTCCGGAATGCTGCAATGCCGTTCCTTTGGGGTCCTGTACAGAAGGGAACATTTTATACAGGGAAGGATGTCACCATTGGCAGCCAGTCTTGCAGGGGGTGTTATTGTTTGGAATTCCCTCCAGGACCAATGAGATTACATGGAATGGAGTACATCTGGTGGAAAAAATAAATGCCAATATTGTCTATTTCCACTAAATACTGGATCCATCTGTATGGTGGTTTGGGCTGGGGAATGTCTCTTTTGGAATGTCTTTAGGAAGCTTCTGTAAATGGGCCACACATTCTGAGAAAGTTTTCCTTTGCATGGAAACAAGATTAGAGTGATCTGATTTCTTCTGATCCCACTGACCATTGGAACACACGGGCCAGGCTATCAGTAACTGTCTTCTCCGTTACAAAATAAAGGAGCTCATTAAGAACATTGCTTGAGCCTAAAGCCTATAGGCCTAGTTTAAAGAGTCCTCATGTTTAAACATGTGTCCGGGGCTAATCTGCTGAGATTGTCCTCGTCAATAGAGTGACTCTTGTTTTGGGGAGAGGAGACTCCCTCCTCCCCACTGGTTTTCTGCCACAAGCAGTCTAAAGTGTTCCACTGATCTCCTTGGCTTTTTGCCGGCAGCCTTTCTTCTCCAGAGAGCCGAGGGTGGAGGGGAGGGAAGGCAGCATTGACACCTTTCTTTTTCTTTTTCTTTCTTTCAGATCCAGAAGAGTAGAAAAGACCTCACATAGACTGGGACTGCCAGTGTCTGGTGTCTGGGGAAGGTGTACAGCTTTCAGAACCAAGTCCCACATTTGGCCTTCTCTCACGCTGTCTCCTCCCAGGGGCCTCTGGGGGTTGGCTTGTGGTCTTAGAATTATAGGGGACTTTTTCCCCTTCCTGAGCACACAAACTCCACTTGAGGTTTGTTTTGCTTTGTTTTTGTTTTTGTTTTTGCTTTTGCCCCGCCCTCAAAGCAAAAGGCAAACGTGAAAGGCCATTTCACAGTCCATCACTAATAATATGGCTTTCACAGCACCTGTTGAGCCTGCTGAAAAACTGACATCCTGGATATGCTGAATGAGACTCGCAAAAGGTTCCCCACACAGTTGACAGCCATTTTGGTTTTGTTAGTGCTGTTAACTTGGAACGGTGCCTTTTATCCTGGCTCATGATGGTGACCACAGCCAGGTTGGCTTTCATCGCAACTAAAGTGAAATGCCAAGCGCTGGCTCTTTTCTCCAGTTGAGAACATTCATTTTCTCCAGTTTATTTTAAGGCTTAAAATTTGTTCTTATGCCTTTTCCCCCATTTGTATAATATATACGTGTTTGTCTTTTTAAGAGGAGGTTATCCTATAGGAATATGTATTTGATGCTTAATTTATTATGTGTAAATTCCTAAATATAAATCTGAATGTGTTAGCTGATGACCATGCTGTCAGTGCGATCCCAAGGGTTTTCACCGGGCAGCATCCATCACTAAGGGGTCACTGAAATGTTGACTGCTTCCTGGTCCTCTACTTTTGGGTATCCATACATTGGCTTCATTACTTTGTAAACTTCTTAGAAAGGGAAGTGGTAAGGGATCCAGAATCAGAGAGATATGTCAGGTAATAATTTTCAGTTTAGTAAGATTTTAATACCACAAAGGAGATGATTAATAGGACAAATAGAAAATAAGGATGATAAATATGGCAGGGGTAAAGGGATAAAAAATACATTATCCTGAAGCCAAACAGAAAATGGGATTCAGTAGAGTGCAAGGAAAGTATGATTTTTCTCTCTCATGGTGTGTGATTTGGATATGAATGTTTTATGTAGTTTTAGGTCCCATCTGAAAGTAAACAGTGTCATATAGAAATAACGACAGGAAGAAAGTGAGCTAGGTAATGGGCTTGAGTGAATTCTGTAGGTTTCATTTCTAAATTAAAAGTATAAAGACAGGTATTTTAAAGTATCTGTGTATTTTAATAAGTCATTGGTATTTACATAGCAGTTAAAGAAGACTGTGTGTGGTCCTTATGACCTCTTGGCTCATATAAATAGGCTTCAGCAGGGAAATGTGAAGAGAGTTGTTGCCTGGAACACACAGTACCTGATGTTTACACAACTTTTCTCTGTTGGTTTTACATTTGACCTCCCAACACTTCCATTACTCTGCCTGAGTTCCTAATAGTAAATCATGAAATTCAGAACTAAGTGACTTTGGGAACATAAAATGTCAAGTGTATGACTAGAACAAGCCATGTGATATCTAATTGTTATAATACAAGGCAGTTTGATGGGTTTTGATAACAGGGAGACAGTAAGGAAGCGTGGGAATGCTGGGGAATTGCAGAGGGTGGGCTGTGGAGGATGGTCAGGGATTGGTGAGGCTGGTTGTGAGGGGTGAGTGAAGATGGTGAGAATTGGTAAGGAAGATGATAACATAAGAAAGCAACAGCCCAATATCACAGGCTATATTCGTTCTGTGTAAGAATAGGGGGTCCCAGGTACCCAGGATTTGTAAATTTCCTCCAAAGTTTTAGACATTGGCATCTAACCCGGGTGCTTACACTGCACCAAACAAAATGTGCTTATGAGCTGTACTCAGCCTAGGGGTCATCGGCTTGCAAGCCGTGTTCTTGAAGGTAGAATGATTCTGTACGCCAATTAAATGCAATCAAGTGTATGACAGTTTATGTCCTTGGAATATGGGCCTTTTACCTCGAATCTACTCTGTATTTTTGTATGTGGAACATTTGGGCATTTGATACAAAATGCCTACTGCTTCATTTTATAATCTAGAAAATAACACTAAACTATTTGAAAAATAAATAGGAATATAGCCATTTTTTCTAAACCCAATGAGGATAGAAACGTTTTAAATTTTCTGTCAGCCATGAATCAGCTGAAAAAGAATGAGAGGAGAGCTTCATGCTAGCAAACTCTGCTTAAAACACTCAGGAGGTACAGAAGCTCTGCTAACTTAGTCTTACTTTTTAATTTCTCAAGTGTTACGTCACGTTGAATAAAAACAGAGTCATTTGTGCAAAAGTGTATGAAATGCATCACTGTGCTCTAAACTGATCCTAGACTTGATCCCACACTAGAATAATTATTGCACGTCAGTATTCACACGAAAGAACACTATTTCCAACGCTGCAGCATGTTTTCTGTGGGTTTTACTTTATTGAAATGGCTTCTTCCAAGTGTAGCATCTATCAATATCCCACCAGCATGATCCCAACGCCCCACTCACTCACCTTGCTCTGGCTCCTGCACACAGCACAGATTTGCACACCAGAGTGTGCAATGAGAAACTGTGGACACACAGTGACCTCCTGCTCGTTAGTATTATAATAAACCACAAGCCTTTTATATCCCTAGCTGTAACATGATAACTAACTGGAGCCAACACTTTGAGTTGCATCTTCACATCACCAAACAAGCCTGTGTCCAAGTTGTATCACTACGGGCTCAACTTGGGGCACAGTAACTTATCCTTACAGGATTCAGTATTTTATTTCTTATTCATAGTTTCCTTTCCTAGTCTGTGTGTCCTAATAACTTATGGGAGCAATTAAAAGATGTATCTCTAAATCATTAATGGATTTTCTTCCACTGGCCATTTTGTTCACAGTGTTTTTAAAAAGCATGAAAAACAACTGATAGGATTCTACACACTAATATCCTTAATCATTAAAATCAGGCTGAACACCAACACCAAAGCCAAAGACAACTCATTTGCGGAATCTCAGACATCCTAGTTTTCCATCTGCAGCCATGCCTTTAGAACGGGTACAGTTGTCATAGAATGGGAGAGATGGAGTGGAGAGAATGAGAGAGAGAGTGAGAGAGAGAGAACAGAGAGGAGGAGGGGGAGGAGACTATTTTGTGCTCCATATTCTAGGAGTTGGATGCTTGACCTATCCCTTATCTCATAGATCACATTTCCTTAGATAGACACACAGATGGAATGGATAGGCAGATGGACGGATAGAGAGAGAATGTATGTTTTGTTGATGTCTGAGTAGAGATTTTGATAATGAGAAACATTTTGTAATGTTCTCCCATTGAGTGTGGGGAAACCAATGGATTAAAAATTACAATATTCTTTCTCAAAATGAGACAGGGAAGATTCCAGAATTGGAAATATGAGTGCATCATAATTTTCCAAATGAAAGAGATTAGAGGAATACCTTTTCTCCCAGTCAGACACTTCATTCTAACTTTGAATGCCCTCCACACTTCGAGACTCACAGTACTTTTCTATCACAGTGCCTGGCACCCAGCCAACACTCAGGATGCAGAACTGTCAGGTGGGATCATCCCATCCCTTTTCAACACAAAGTTCAAATTTCCTTCACCACATATTCAGTGTCTTCACCATCCATGTGGCTGCATTCAGGAGATGTGCATTCTGGGTAAAGGCAGACATACTCTAATTACACCAATAGCTTATCACAAAAGGTGGAACATCAGACTATTTGGGGAATTTGCTAAAGCCAAGTAGTGCATGAAAATAGATTAAAGTGGTTTCTGTGGCCTCTATAGTTGAGAAAGAACAACAACAAAAAATCAAATCAATTCAATGACATTCTTCAAAGAATGATTAACCACGAAGGGTGATGATACAGGCCTACCTGAAAAACTCTCATGACTCTTAGAACCCAGGTTGAAACTGGGACTTTCCTGGAGCAAATAGGAAATATTATCCATGCGGCATGAGAAACCACTGCACCGTCTGCTCTGCCAGCATGGTGGGCACAACGCCGGGCTGCAGCGAAGCCAGTGTTACAGGACATAATGTTTCAATAATGATGCTATATTGGTTCTTATTCTTGAACAAATGGATAATTATACTTGTAATCCATCAACAGAGATCTGTGATTAAAGGCCTCATTATCACTGACAGAGTAAGCATAATGAGAAATCAGTAATGAGCAGCAACAATGTTCCTGAGAAATCAGGAGGCTCATTACCCTATGTCCAAGCAGAGACACCAGCAGGCACAGAGGTGGCCCAGAGTCCGGATGTAACTAGGGCCATCTACAAATTTTGCTGAATTGTTAGCAACCATGAGTCTAATGAGGTTAGAAAATGGGATGTTCTTGTTGGACATTTGTATGGGGAAGGTGCTTTCCTGGAGATTGTCAGTGATGAGCAAGAGATGCTTCCTATAAGATCTTGCTTTCATGGGAAGGCACGGTGAGGGGTGGTGGGGGTCCTGGACGGAGGAGTTCATGGCCAGCTTTAAGGATTAAGTCCTAATTATCTTGCATCATCCTCCCTTCCCATTCTCAATTAAAATATTGGCACATGTATTAGAGGTGCATTGCCATGAGTTCTGGCTTTTGTTCAAGTGAAAGTGGGTTAACACCAACAGTGGGAGGCTTCCTTGGTACACTCAATCCAAACTAAGTAGCCATTGCAGAGCCAGAAGCAGTGGGAATGGTGGGCCTCTCAGTTCACCCAGGGCACACTTGCCCAGTTTCTTCTGGGGATTCCTCTACCTTCTGAGTGATTGTTGTGTGTAATAGTTCGCAGTCAGTGTCTCCATGGGGCATCGTTTCTGTAATGGTCAGCTTTAGCCATTGCCTCTGAGACTCCCATGCACATTCTTCATGGGAGCTGGTATCTCTGCTTGCAAGCACACTCATAGACAAGCTCACTGGAGCCCCGTGACTGGAATGGCTTCTTCTAAGCAGGTACGCAGGAAGCACACCCTGCTTATCTTTGCTCTCTCTGTGTGCTCTAAACTAGGGAGGAGGCTGTGCATACTGCTCTCCGTGTCTTCAGATAGGTGTATGTGTCATATGTGTGCTGATATAAAAGTAATCCCAGATTAATACAGACAGCTTCACACTGAAAATCTACAGCCATATATATCATTTAGT